AGGCTTTTATGCACGCAACGGCCACCCTGTTCACCGGTCCTGTGCCACCAATGTTGCCGAAGCGATGAAACCCTGGGGCATGAAGCATTGGAGCGAAGTAGTTGACCCATTCAATGTCTTCCAGAATACTCCCTATTACACGATCAAGGCGCTTAATTGCTCAAGGCCGGGAGATTTCCTAGAAATGCGGGCTGAAGTGGATGCAGTTTGCGCCGTGAGCAGTTGCCCGTTCGAAGACGATGGCTTCAACGGTGGGAGAGCCACAGACATCGCTGTGGTGACCGAGGTTGATGACGAGGAAGAGGAAGAGGAAGGATAAAGCCACCTTGTTGCTAGATCCGCACTTTAGAAAGCTGCGCCTGCAGAAAGCCCTCACACGAGGATCTCCCAAAAGAAATCCTGCTCCGTATCTCAACTGTGTATTGGAGGGACTGTCCTGCCATCCGATTTCGACGCCCGAAGTAGATGTGCTGGCCAACTTTCAGCATCTGGTCATTGCAGAGAAGCGGAGCTGCATACAACCAAGGAAGGGTTCGGTTTCGCCGCCAACACCACCCAGAGACCGCAGGGAAGTGCAACCTCCAGATCAATCAACCTGTGCCCATCGCCGCCAGTCATTCAGTGCAAGAAGCGGAATTGCTGTGTCGGAGTCGTAAAGCGCATCCATACCGTTGACAGCCACCTTGCTGAGTCGAGAACTGCACTTCAGCCTCGTCGAAGGATAGGAGCCAGGAGAAAACAATTTAGCCTGACCGGTCATATTTTCGCGTATTTCGACGTCAAAACAGCCAGATACACTGAGGCACAATGTTCGATAGTACAGTAGTGTTTCTGCCGTTGAGGTATCACCCTCAATGCATATGTCAATGGTGAGTTGTGGCAATCATCTCATGTCTCTTGAAACCAGGTGGATGTTCCTCTGCCTAGCACAGCGTCTTTATGTTTGGATCAGCGTCATCGCTTTGATACATGCCATTCGAGGCCAAACTTACAGTTGTCTTGCAACGCCATCCTCTCACCGTCTCTGTTCCTAGTTAATATCCCCTCATCGACTACTTTCAGAGGCTTGAGGAGGGAAACAAGAACTGAATGCGACACTTGTGTCAACAGTGCCTCCACTGTGAGCTCGACCTGCGAACAACACATTCGAACTTGATCAAAGGAACAAGGCTTTGTAGGACACGAGCCACCCCGATGAATGCTTGGAAACTGTGGAATTTTGAGGAGCAGACAGAGGACTCAGGTGCTTCGGTTCAGTTAGTCGACTGGTGGCTCTCACCTGCACTTGCCAGAGCGAGGCGTGGATTCCTGGGTCGAACACAGGGGGTTCTCGACATCGAGGTAAGCCATGAATGAGATATCAATGAAATCCTTGTTCGTATTGCTGATCAACTGCGCTCTCGGACCACTTTGTGAGAGAGAATCAGCAACTGACCAGTCCAGGTAAGCGAACCTGCCTGCGCCCTCGCGCATGATTCGCCCTCGGAGCTCAGGTTGACGGTGGTTAACTTCTTTCGGCGAGGCATGTGGCTCGAGAGCACGAGGAGGAAGATCGAAGCGAGTGAAGAGGACTCGTAGGCAGTGAGAGAAGTGACGAAGATGAGGTCGGCATATAGGCGATGCCGTCGTACATATCGTCCAGGGGTTCATGCCGCCAGCACAGCGGTTGGCAAAGAGCGAGAGGCATCACGGCGCCACGAGGAGCGAGTTGACGTCGGGCCCTGTTTGAGGGGAGGGGGCGTTTCGATGGGCATGTTGAACACATTACTACAAAAGGGAGAAAAAATTGACCTGAGCTGTTTGGCTTTGAACCAGTCAATTCATCATACTGTTTTGCAGTGGAAAAGCGCAATTTGCTTTCCGCAGGCGGACTGCCTTGCTACGCGGCTTGTCCGCCTTGCACCTTCGTCAGCCGATCACATTTTCCGTCTAGGGTATGTAAAGTCGTCACGTTCTCGGAGAAGTGCAATGCGACGACCTGTCACTGCTCGGTCTAAATTCCTCTCGATGTCTTTCGCATGTGTGCGAGTGCTCTCTTTTTTAGCAAGCCCGTTGAAATTCAAGATGTGTACACAGGGTAACCAAGTCAGTACTAAGGCTGTCGTGACAGCCTCTGGAGTGACCCGGCTCCCCTTCTCCAAAGGAACAACCATTTATTGTGTGAAGCCCTGGCCACACCCTGGCCACAGCAATCGGCTGTGGCATGTATCTCTTAGTTCTGGTCACCTGTCAAGAATGAATCGAGAAATGATCTGATCCTGGAGATGATGAGTGTAAGGCCGTTTGTGTCAACCCACTCTCAGTAGGAAACCTCTGCAAACCCGGGGGAATTTATGGGACTCCCGAGCTGGAAAATACCAAACAAGAAGTGATCTGAATGTGACTGGCACATGAAATCACAGATATGGTCGCCAGCGACGAAGGGATGAGGCTTTTTCAAGCAGCTCCTGGGACAAGCTGGCCGTAATCCACAGATGTCCTTTCACCCTCTCAAGCATCCCACCCGTTGCTGGGGGTCCAAGACTGACATAAAAAGTGAAAATTGTTCTTCTTTCCAAGGATAAAAGGCCTAAATCATTTTGCATTTAGGCCCCCCAACAGTTTGTTCTCAATCCCCAACTAGGGACTAATAACAATGGCTCAACAAAATTATGCCGGTCTGGAGACAAATTATCCAATGCTGATATAGGCTTCTACGTTCGTAGAGAGGATGAACACGAATGGCTACGATCTACTACGAGGATCGCCAGAGTTAAGGATATCCTTGGTGACGATTATAGCTGAAGCTTGATTGAACGGCCTGAGCCTTTATAGCTCTGGGCGGTCTATTTTGGCTGTTTGATTATCTGGACCATGGTGCTGCTAGCAGCAGCACCTATAATATTCTGGGGAAGAATGTAGTAATGCATTTGCCAGCGGCAAAGCATGTGGCAATCCCCCTATGCTTTCTTGGAAAAAGGGTCGAATCTAGAGACCGTAAATAGGACACATTGACTTGATGAATGGCTTATTATTATCCACCTTTGTTGAGTACCCATCTCAGTTTATTCATGTAACACATAGAAACAAAATACAGAAGACTTGCTGGAGGTGATCAAGCGGATGTGCTTTCCCTTTTGATGTTTTTCAACCATGTTCTTTTTCAATTGTTAGCTTCTCTTCACCCCTCTAGTCGCCTTTGTTTCGCAACGGCTAGGAGCAGAAAGGACCACTGCTTGAGCTCTCGACAAAGTCTTGCTAGTTCTTGAAAGCCGCACAGCTCCTCAATATGTGTCCTTCAATGATCCTCCACCACTCGTGCAGCGATGCTGTCTGGAGTGGAAAAGCCAAGGAGTGTACACTGGAAGCCGAGCGTTTCTGCTGCGTCAAATTCGTCGGCTCTAATGGAGAAGCTGGAATTAGGAGCGAACTCGGACTTGCCGATCAGCTGTCGCCATACGCGATAGTCAAGGAGCACGCCGCGCATCATCAGAGATATTGGTTCTTTGTGAGACAAAGCGTATAAGGCATGCCTCAATAGTCTTGCTAATGCGAAGCTCCAGCTCGACTTACCCGTTTCTGGGGCCCGTGCAACACATCCCCACGTCGATAAGGTACGCCGCAACTTTAGGACCATTTAACCGACCCAAGTCGAAGGAACTGGTTCATGTTCTTCAGTAAATTGAGCTTCAGCCCATTATCAATCGTGATCGTGCTCACGGGCTGCAACGACCAGCAGCTTGACTATCACAATTCTGGATCTTGTCCTAGCTTTGTTTAGGACCGATAAGTTTCGCTCCTACTCGTCTATTGCAGAACATGCTGACGATTCTCAGGATAGCTGACAGCGGTTAACCTCCAAGCACGCGCCTGTAGGTTCTTGCCATGGGGACATTCATCAAACATTTCCCGGTTCCAAGGGCCTCGACCTACAAGTAGTCTGCGGCCCACAACTCAGTCCTTGGGGAATCGAAGAATGTTCTTCTCCCCCACTCGTTGCTGCTAGGAGTGGACAGGGGGGAAAACCCTGAGAGATAAATTATACAAGTAGAGCCTTGTGAGTGGGGAAGTGGATCGTTTGCTCTAGCAACCAACACCTTTTGAGGCCCGTTCGCACACGGGTAATCACTGGGTACCCTACCAGTATGCGACGAATCACTTCAAAGGGTTTCCATTTTGAAAGATGACATGATTCTCAGTCGTGGTACCTGCGCGACTTAGTCTTTTTCCGTGCGGCGAATGCTCTCCGTAATTCTAACCACGACCAGCATGGTTGTCGGCCTTGGAAAACCGAGTCATGAAATGTGGATCGGGCTGGTCCTAAGCAGATGTAATCTCATGTATGGCAGCTCATTGAATTATCGAGCATGGCATCACCGAGGGCACTGCCATTGTCACGTGTGGATAGGGAGGAAGGGATTTTTCAGAGTTGTCGTGCGATGCCCTGCTTTTCCAACCTGCAGTTGCCTCACCTTTCGGGTGAGGAGTTCTTTCGCTTCGAGTTCCCCCTGGCCGTAGCGAAGACGACGTTTTGATCCGCTTCCCTCGGTGACTCGAGACTCGTCACTCTAATTCGGTTCCAGGTGGGGAGCGGATTAGTCTTATTCTTAGCCTGCGAGGGAGAGCGGAATAGGTCTATCTAGGGGAGAGTCATGATAAATAATAAGGAGGGACAGTATAATATCGGCGTTACGCCCCCGCATGTCACGTCAAACTACAGGAGCCCGACGGGTCCTAGAGGAGAGTCCTACTCCATACCAATCTGAGGATTTTCCTTCTCGGGAAAAGTGGGGCGAGAGAAGCTTTGTGTCAAGCTCTACCGAGTACTCTGGGGATTATGCTCGGTCGTTGGTCTCCGGGCCCGGTGAGTCGCAAGTAGAATGGTCTCTTAATGTGTCTATACATTCCACGTTGTCCTTCCAATCGCCACAGATTCAATCCCCTAACTCCCATCCTCATCTTTTTCTAACGCAAAACTTCGTGGAACTTTCAGCAACACCCAAAACAACACCCTGCTCAAGATGGTATCTGCATTCCAGATCGGAGTAAGCTACCGCTCAGCCCTTGTGCTTGCAGAACTTGGCCACAATCCACTGACCATTCGCCCTCCAGCTCATCCTCGCAGTGTCCCTTGGGTCCTTGACATATGGCTACTGCAGCAGTATCATCTCAACCACCCTCGGACAGCCGAGTTTCCTGTCCTACATGGGCCTGGATACGGCATCTAACGCAACTCAGCTCGAGGGTGCCACAAATGCTCTTTTCCAAGTCGGCGGTCTCTTTGGCTCCATCTCATCCCTATGGATCCCAGACAAGATAGGGCGCAGATGGGCCCTCTTCATCGGTGGCACCTTTTCCCTCGTTGGTGGCGCCTTACAGACGGGAAGTGTCGACGTGGCCATGTTCATTGTTGCGAGGTTCATCACGGGAATCGGCGTCGGTATGGCCAACCTATGTGTTGATCTGACTTTTCTTCCTTCTACAAGGACTTCCTTGTCGCTAACCCTGGTCGTTGCTCAGGTGCTTTGGTCGGCTTGGTCCCATTGTACCAAAGTGAAGTCTCCCCTACCAACCTACGAGGGTTTCTCGTAGGTTTGCACGGAGTCATGATCTGCGTTGGCTACACATCTGCCAGTTGGATCGGTGTCGGCTTCTACTTTGTCCATGGTGGTAACCAGTGGAGAGGCCCCTTGGGCTTCCAGATGTGTTGGCCATTGGGGTTGATGATCGCCCTCCCATTTGTTCCAGAATCGCCTCGTTGGCTCCTCGCCAAAGGCCGCAAAGACGACGCGTTCAAGGCTTTCCGTACAGTTCACGACAGCGGTGTCAAAGTCAAGGATGGCCAGCACGAAATCGCCGTCAGGGAGGAGTTCCGTCTACTCGCCGCCCAGACAGCCCAGGAGATGAAAGACGATGTTCCTCTCAGCGCCTTCTTCACTCGACCGAACTTGTTCAAGAGGTGTGTGATAGGGTTTGGTGTCATGTTCGCAGCTCAAGGAACTTTTACTCTCGTTATCAACAGTACGTTCTCTACCCCATGTCATACCCCTCCCCACAAGGGCTAATATTTTCTCCCCCCTTACAGACTACGGACCGATTCTATACAAAGGACTCGGCTTCAGCACTGTCGATCAGCTTTTGATTCAGGCTGGCTGGATCTCGGTCTGTCCCGGGGGCAATGTCATCAACGCCCTCATTGTGGACAAAATAGGCCGCACGAGACTCTTGAGTAAGTGTCTCTTTCCAGGGTATTGAGAGAGGGAGATCTGGGGCTGATTTAGGATGTAGTGTTCGGGTTTGCGGGCACCGTTACCGCTCTGGTTGGAGCTTGTGCGACCGTCGTTGTCTACAATAATCATGGCCAGTCTCGTTCCGTTGCCGCCGCCGCCGTCTTCTTCCTGTTCTGGCACATCGCCTGCTTCTGCGTCTCGGTGGATGCTACTTCCTACATCTACGCCTCGGAACTCTTCCCGACTCCGCTTCGAGCCCGAGGTATCGGCATCTCCATATCTGGTCTTTTCATTGCCACGATCATCTTCCTGCAGGCCGCGCCCACTGCCTTTGCCCACATCAACGGTTATTACTATCTTGTCGGTACTTTTGTCACAATTTTCTTCTTCTTCGTTGCTTGGTTTTACTGGCCGGAGGTGAGTGTTTCCCCGGATGCCCTGTTTTTACATTCCATTCTTGCCTTCATAGCTATAGATTACATGGCTAAACTATTTATAGACCAAGGGAAGGTCTCTCGAAGACATCGCCGAGATTTTTGGCGACAATATTACTTTAGATGATGCCGAGGAAGAGGCCATCCACAAACGCTTCAGAGAGGGACATTACCAGGAGAAGGCCATCGCCCAGGCCGCAGACGAGATCCGACACCATAGGGAGAACGATTTTCCAATTGATACTAATGATGTTTCAGCGGAGGTCAAATCATTGTAAAGGTATTGGAGAGTTCGATCGGCGAACTAACTTTGAGCATGTAGAACGTCACCGGCACGCACCTGATTAAAAAAAAAATAGCCCCCCACAAAGACAGCGAGAGGCCAGAAGTATTATTGATACTTTCCCCATGGATCGTTGCTGCCGCTTTGTCGTTCATAAAATTTCCGACGTTTGGTGTCAATACTGTTAACGACGAGGCCGAGTCCAGTAAAGACAAGCCTGACAAGAGTAAACAGCCGAGACTTTGGCGTGTCCAGTATTGTAGGAATTTATCCCGACCTCGATGATCTGGGGGAAGGCCCCGGGAACGGCGCTAAGGCTCGCTGCTAGAAGGCCGGCCTTCGTAAGAGTAGGATGGACAATGTCAGGAAACTTATCGCTGCGAGCGTTGGTCAGGATAGTGCCGAAGACGACAGACATGACTGTCAGGAATGGCTCCAGTAAACTATCTGACAAGTATATTGCCTACCTATAGGCGCAGACGACAGCGATCCCGAAGCTGGAGAGCTTAAAGAAGGTAGCCCGCAACCCGCACGTCTATATACATCTAGCCCCTGAGAGCCCTGGCACCCCTTGTCCGTGACACTCTCCAGCTTCGGAATCTCCTCCATCTACTTACGACACGAATTGCGAGTTTGTGCCCATTCTTTGAAGAGATGGATCTTTCATGACCGCAGGTACAACTGACATGGGCGTGTACGGGCATGGTCGATTAATTGAAGAAGGTTGAGGTTATTAAATAACCCATGTACTCACCATGTACTCACATTGAGCAGGGATTGAAACAAGATACTGGCTACTCATTGGTTTGGCCTCTTTCCGTTGAGGTTCTCCTGGACAACGGGCTCCTCGAAAACCTTTTGTGACAAGTACACATGATTTGAGGGCGACAGCATCGCCTAGTAATTCTTTCTCGCCTCTGAAAAGAAAGTGACAGGAAGTTCTGAAAATGCGAGGCAAGATGAGGTCGTCCGGCTCGCTCTTCGCTAATGGGATCATGAAACTCAAGCTCGATAACTGACCCTGTAGAGAGCGGACTATTAGTAATTCCGTATCCGACAGCAACGCGGGTGTCGCTGCTGATTCCTGAGGTCCATACCCACCAACATCAAGATCAATTCCGTTACAAAACCCACAACTTTTGCTGATGTGTATGGAATTGTTGCAACACATGACAGAGAGCTACGTCGGAATGCTAACATGCTATCACCCGCATAACAACATGGCCTCTGGTTTATCAGACCTGCCTTCCATGGGACACGATGTGGGAAATTGTGTTCAGTGAGACATTGCGATCTGCTAGAGGGTGCTCAGGCGTGCAAGTGCTGGGAGGGCGAAAGAGATAGAGAGTGAGCCTGATATCAAGTTGTGCAGCCTTGCCAAAGCGCAGCCTCGCCGGAGCATTACATCACATGCTTAGCTTCGCCCAAACTTTCAGGGAAGATAGTAGCTTTGGGAGACCCTGCATCTGTCGTCCGTCTGTCCAAGCCAACTATGGAAGGTGTGTAGACATGACGGACATTGGATTTGATGAACGAGGTACTCGGTACTCGATACGAATCCGATCGGCAAGGATAATGTTGTCTCCACTGAAACACACTAGCCTGCACGATCTCACGACGTTGAAGTCCACAACAAGTCATCGCACCACATGCTACAACGAGAGACCACATCACCATTGACCTCTTTTTGTTCCAGATACTGGCTCGCCTGGATCAAAGCGAATTGTCACTTGGGTCCTCCAGCGTAGGCCTAGGTCCCGGTCCTGGTTAACATTTCCTCTCACTCTGAGATTCTTACACCTGCCAAGCCCTGCTAACTAACTACACATGTACCGAGTACCTATGTACCTATGGAGGCACCTACCCTCGAAGATCGACCTCTGTCGTCGTTCGCTTCTAATACTATCCTTGTGTCCTGGGATGCACTTGATGGTGTAAATAGGAATGCCCTTGTAGGTCCCGTGGCCACGAACAAGAGCGTTTTGGGAAGTACATTCATGATCTTTTCGATGGGAATCGCTTGGGAAGGGAAGGGAACTCTCGTTACAGTCCTCGAGAAGTGATTGTCAGTGTCCAAGTCCCCCTGGATACAGTGTCGTGATTATACCAGGTATATAGGCCAGCCACGTGTTGATCTCAGGGGAATGAATACCCATAGTAACATCGCTCAAGCAGTTCGAGTTGGAGGATAGTCAGGCGGTAAACTAAACCGTGATGAAGAAAAGGTTGAGACAGGTGAAAAGGTAAACAAACTAATACGAACTAATACACTAAATAAATTACCATACATGAGATGCCTGAGTTTATCAAGTGATGTGACTGAGACAATCCACTCCACTCCGGGTCTGTCAAGCCTTGGGGTAATATCTCTCGGGAGAAGCATTCTAGAAAAGGCAAAAAAAAACAAACAAGCCTTTTGCAAAAGAATACAAGATGAGAAGAAGAAACCAAAAAAAACTCGTCAGATAGAAGGGACACCCAAGCAAAGACGGCCAATGGCAGGTAGGAAGACCAAGAACCAAACGATGACGTGGTGGTCCACACTTCCTTTGCAAAGATCCCAACATCACACTTCATCCCAGAGAGGGTGGTCGGGGTCGTTCCTCTTGATGTGATGGCGCCGAAATGTTCTCCTCCTGTTCACGGTCTCCACTTAGCTGGTGGGCCTCGCCCTCCAGCGAGTCAAAAGAGCCATAGCACTCTGGAGGATGGGAGTACATGACACTTCCAACCTCGCGGAGCAGGGGGGAGCTCGGTGAAAAAGAGCCGGGGTGCTGCCAAGGAGGGCTAGGCTCTCTCGCTTGTTGGGAAACATCTGTCATGGTCGATCCGCGACGGGAATCCCAATCCGCTCTTCTATCACCCTCACTGCTTGTTCTTGCCTGGGTCATGCTGGTTTGGGGGCTCGTAGGGTCGTTGGACGGGGTTCCTTGAATTGGTGAAGTTCCTGCCCATGTCAGGGGTTAGGGCTCTTCGTCTCAGAAGGGATATCAGCTCACTTTGACGTGGTTTATTCTCTTGTGTCTCCTGCGAAGTAGCAACGGAGGCGATCGAATCCTCGGCTCTGATTTCAGGAGACGGTTCAGACCCTGCCGAGACGCGAGTCGACAAGTTCGAAGAAGAGTGAGGTGGAGTTGCATTGTGGCTCTTTTTGGGCGGACAAACGTGAAGGTGTCCATCATCACCAGATGTGGCACCAGACCAGTTCGAAATAGGTTTGAAAGACATGCTGATACTGACTCAGGGAGGGATAGTCGGATCTGCAATGTAAGGTGACCTCAAAGAACAGCGGTCAAATATATACTGCCTGGCTTGTCACCTTCCACCTCCATTATCAGACGGGGTATTTTCTTCTCTTCAAGTCGACGTGCACACCGCCAGGAGGATGCCATAATAGCAAATGGAGAGGGCCTCCAACACTGCCTGCAATCGGGCTTCAAAGGCTTAGAATCCGTGCTGTCTTTGGTCGAGCGATGAGCGATTTATGAAGGACTGGTCGCATCGATATCGAGTAGAAGGCTCAGTGTCGACAAACATCACAGGCTGCGCTGAGCCCTGTTCCCAGTCTGCGATCCCAACAGTGAGCAGTAACGTCAAAAGTGATGCCTGAAACATAGTCGATCAGACATTGATGCCCGCCCGGCACGGAGTGCCCACAAACAGCCTCCCCAGAGCGAGAAGTAGTGGCTGCCTACAGTTTGGGTCGAGAGAATCAGCCTTTACCACGCCGCGGTGGATAATAAGGCAGATTCGAGTCTTGGTTCTCATCGATCAGCGCCTCAGGCCGAAGCTCTCTCATCAGAAACAAGGTCAGCAGCCAATAACGAAGCGAAAGCTCTGGCTTTGCATCTTCGAAGTGATGCTGTGACCGCTTGACGGTTAGGATTCGGAGTACCGAGTAATTGGCGTTGATCCCGGAGTTGCCCAGCCGAGAACAAAGGGGAAAGGGGGAATTACGCAGGACCAGGGATCATCGTAACGACCCGTGCACCTGCGCAGCTGCGCACATCTGCATTGACCTTTCATCATCGCATCCTCATCTTCGGTTTGTCGCTTCACTGTTGAAACTTTGTCTGTTCCTTGATCACTGCCCCAAGCTTGTTGGCCCTGGGAAGGATGAGCCCAACCAACCTGTCTGCACACCTGTGTACAGTTCTTCACAGCCAGCCCCCTGTGCGCCTCTCGGTCTGCCTGTGTACGCCCACTTCTTCCGAACGGCTTGGTCTGGAACCTTGCAGCCCAACGTCCAGGACCGCCACGTCTCTGATATCACAACTGTTCCCTTCTTATCACATTGGGACTCTTGACTTGCTCGGATCCTCGTCGACCACCTTTGATTTCGCAGCTAGTCAAGATCTCCTTGATGTTCACCTGATCGCAATCGTCTGCGTGTCCCGTCTCACGCATTGCTGCCCAACACGGGGTACAGCGCTCCTGGTCCCAATGGAGGATGAGACAGTCGGAAAGAGAGGAACAACACACACTGTAATGAGTCCACACCAAGCTTCGGCAAGAGCTGCTGTTGTACAACGTGGCCAGAGAGACACTACGTCTCAATTGTGGGTTTGAGGTGCCGGTACTTTCTGCCATATCCCTGCCGCTCCGTTAAGGTCCATTCCTCCCAAAAGTAAGTTGAGCCAGGAAACGTCGTCCGAATCCAAACATCCGTGAAGGGTTTGCATAGCTGTACCGGCTGTACCGGCAACCGGTCGTCGTTCTCGACCTTGCACCGATCCTTTAAGCCTTCCGGGGCACCTAAGGAGTTGAGACGAGCCCATCAGAGAAGAGAAGAGGGGATACATCTCATATATCAAGCACGGAGTAAGTCATTCTACACTACTGGCATTGTGTCACGCGCGTTGCTGTGCTCTACCTCATTTTAGGAAAGTGAAGGCTCATTTCTCGCCATTGGTGTGCGATCACATCCGGCCGCCAGTCACCAGTGACCGGAGAAGTGGATATTGCTGTCTGGGCCTCTCTCACCAATGAATCGAGATCTCCTAAGTGCTCACTGCGGGAGGAGCTTCCTCTGGGTCGGTGGTAGCTGTCCAGACGGCTTTACGGAAGCACCATTGGCGAGAGATTTCGTTGGACGGACCACAAGTCATGTCTGTAGTGCCCTTGTTTAGCCCGCGAAGACTGGACCGGGGAACCGCTGCTTGCACAGAAGATACTCAATGGCCCCTATCAAGTTTCTGACTCCTGTCACTGTTGGTGCTCCAGCAACCTAGCCGACTTTGGCTGCGTTTCGTCTCTTCTCATATTCACCGCCTCTTTGGGACCAACTTGAAACGGTTTCCTTAGTGGCCTTGGTGCCCTGACACGATGCTTGCATTTGCCTAAGTCGAATTTGTATTCCCATCGTGGTCTTTGAAAACCGCCTTGAAGTGACCAACGCCTCTCATCCTACATTTCAGAATCTGAAATCGCAGGACTCCAGTTCTTCAAAGTACCAACATTCCTCCAAGCAAATGCAGGCCCCTCTGACCCGTCTGCGATCTCCATCGAGTCCCTTTCGGCACGTTCTCTAGTTTAAACAGCTGAGCACGCTTGACCCAGGCCGGCCTCTGTGGAAAGAACACAAGAGAGTGGATTCGACCTGATAACACTTCTCTACCATGATTTCAAGAGCAGGGCCACGGAAAGCGAGAGTGACGGACAATGACTAGCAGACGTCAGTCGTTTGGAAGATACTTGTTGATATGGCATAGCCCGTGGCACGCAGATGATAAAGGTCGTCCGGTGATTGTTCCCGTGGGAAGCTGGACCAGTGGCCGTGACCTACTGTAAATGCGCGATGACCCCTTTCCACTTTGAAGAGAAATCGAGTCGAGTCGAACACCGGAAGCAGTGGAAACAAACTCCCCCGAAAGATCGAAATCTTTAGACTGGGAATTGTGTTTTTACAAACAACGTGCGTGATGTAATAGCGGCCATGGTCCTGGTGAGAGAGAGGAAGATAACGTCTGCGATGGTCTGAGCGATGGCAAGAGGAGGCTGTGAAGGACGAGGAGACGAAGAGTAAGTATCAGGAACGCGCAGTACAATATCAACACTACTTCTCCCTAGAACAAGCGACAAAGCGATCCTATCCCTACGATGCCTATACGTACTCAATTCCCTGTTGCTTCCTCCCCAACGGCCACGCCGGCCCTTGTTAAAAAATTCCCACTATGTACTCGGGCATATTCTTCATATCCATCTCCTGGGCCTCAATCGATGGGAATGCGATTGAAGTGCGCAACGTTGCCTGACAGAGCAACAGAAGTCAGTCTTGAAAAGAGCCGAAGCAAAAGCGAAAAAAGAGCAATGGTGAGAGTCCTGTCTCCTGACGGGAGGTGGACAAGCAGACAGACGGATCGAATGCCTGTCGTTGTGCATCGTTTGGTTTTGGGACAGCGATGGGGTGAAACCTACGGCCTCTGCTCATGTCCGCGATACCGGCGAGTCCCTTGACATAGTCGGCAAACCATTGCTGTGATTCGCAAGCCTGTTTTCGAATGTCGAGGGAAGAGAGTTCCCGGGCACAGCAGTTAGCCTTGGGAGAGCATGAATGTTTCATGAACGATGACATATCTTCAATCCACTTGCAACCACACCTCGTCATCCGCCTCCTCCTTTTGTTCTCCCTTGGACACCTCAATTCTTCCACTCACGTTTCTTCACTCTAAGATCTCACGCGGACACACCCCCTCCCCTTTTCCCCCACCACACCGAAAGAAAAACGGAGAAAGGTATCAAACACGCAAAAGATCAAATCAAAACTCACTCCGACGAACCAATCCGTCCCCTCGGTCCAACTGTGCTGGATCCGAATGTGCGCCGCGTCCGTGGGGTCCTGGGAGATTTCGCAGAACAGGCACTCGGGCATGTCGCGCATGGTGCGCACCACGGGCGCCACGAGCCGGACGTACTCGTCGAGCTTGTCCGGGAGGATGTAGATGTCGGTGACCATGAGGGAGCCGTGCTGGCCCGTCGAGGAGGTGAAGGTATTGATCGGGACGAGGTCTCGGTGGGTTTGGACTGAAGCGGGAGGAGGAGGGGGAGTGGTCATGGTTGTAATCGGGTTGAGGAAATACTATCAAGGTGTTGAACGTTCGTACGCAGGTAGTACAGTAGGTATGCAAGGCGAGTATTTTAGGACACTTGGACCAGGAGAAACCTGTTTGCAGAGGCATAATGTACAGTATATAAATATATCCAACATACATACGATAGGTCTCTCTCTCGCCCTCGCTCTCTTCTCCCGCGGCCCAAGGGCATGGGCATTCACGGTGATTGAGAGCATGTGATAGGAGACATCGAATACGGGAAACAGGAAAGGAAGTCGTTCCTGCGGCTGAAGCACCAGTACGCAAGGGCACACGAGGGTGGCGTCCCCCTGAACGAGCGCAAGCGGGCAAAGCTGAGATGTCTCCCGACAGGGGTCTAAACCAGACTGGAAGAGAAGGTTTCTGGAATGGGAAAGTGTTGGAAATTTAGGAGACGGATGAGACGGTGATGGTTGGTGGTAGCTACGTACTTTCCTACAGAACCTTGTGGCCTAGTAGCCTAGTAGGTATGTATGTTTGTCTGGGAGCTACGTGTGTGTGTGTGTGTGTACTTGGAGATTAGGAGGATGAGACGACAAGGGATATATGTGTATCTGTGTAGGTATCTGTGTGTGTGTGCACTGGATATTATATACCCGGGCAATTGGGGTATAAAGGGAGACATAATAACATACAGCATGTACCGAGTCCATATTACCGCGAGGATAGTCCATGAACCACCCTTTATACCCGCGTCGGTTTAGAAGTGCGATATCGGCGCCCGTTGTCGTGTATTGACTCACTCCTTTACCTCCCCGTAGGGGTGTCTCTCTCTGTCTCCCCGATAGCGAGTATGTGTCTCTGTGACACAGAGATAGAGAGAAAGAGATGGGTAACCCCAATTTTCTCCCCCGAGGGGCGACGGAGAACTGCCCGCGAACAACACCACCCGAGGGTGAAACGTTGTCCGTTATTGTCGAGGGATGGCTTCGGGTCAGCAAGTTGGAGACCAGACTGGTGATTACCGTTTGTTTACGAACAGAGCGGTTTTCGGGATTTGGGGGGGCAATAGAAGGTACGTAGGGAGTGGTGGGAAGAATAATATCGAGATGGAGGTGCAAGTGGAGGTGGGGAGGAAGAGGAGGAGGAGGAGGCGGGAGGGGGCGATCTACTACTATACAGTACAGACCTACCTACCCTGCTAACCTACCTATTTACCAATCTACTTGCGCAATTACTTACTTATTCAATTACCTCCCTGCCTGTATACAAGACCTCGTCCAATCTAGACGACGAAGCACCTATTAACGAGAGACAGAGTGAGAGAGATAGAGCAGAAAGGCACAAGGTCCCAGCTCGTTACTCCAACAAAGTGACTTTATCAAAACCATCACCATCACCTCCAACTCCAACAAACAACACCCTCCTCGTTACTAAAGAGAGACAACCACCTCGCAATGCCATCGACCATCATCCCCTCGTCCCGCAACGCCTCGGCCTCGAGCAAACAAGCCAGCGGCACCTTCACGGGCACCGTGTGGATGGACCCGATCTACATCGACGCGGGGCCCAACATCAACATCAACCACGTCATGTTCACCCCGGGGGCCCGCACGTACTGGCACACACACGAAAAGGGCCAGCTACTGCGCGTGCTGGCCGGCGCGGGCTGGGTGTGCGACAAGGGCGGCGAGCCGCGCCGCCTGGCCGTTGGGGACACGGTCTGGTGCGACCCCGGCACGACGCACTGGCATGGTGGCGATGACGGGTCGTTCATGCTCCATCTCGCGGTGAGCCATGGCAAGACGGTCTGGCACGACGAGGTTACCGCGGAGGAGTATCAGGCGAAGAAGAAGTAGGGGCCGTTTCCTGCTGCTTAGTAGGAGCAGAAGAGGGAGGGTAGGGGAGGAGTGATGGATGGATGGTTGGATGATTTGGTCAAGGAATCAACAAACTATCCAACTATCCAGCCGACGATCCAGCGAACTAGTGAACTAGCGAACCAGTCAGTGAGTGAGTCAGTGAGTCAACCACTGCGCCCGTAGGGCATGCTGGACCGGAGCCGAGAGTGTACGACGGCAGAGACGGGGAAAAAAGCGAAGAACAGATGAGGTGAGATTGGTGCGCCAGACACCGCCCAAGAACGAGAAGCAAAACGCAAAAGCAGTCACACACACACATATATATATATATGTATACGAGTATGGCCGCTCAGCAGGCGGATGAGCAGGCAGCCCTGGCCCCGGTACCTATTTAGGTTGACAGACGAAGACGCAAACAGATGAAAAGCCACAAACAATGCTCTGGTCTGCCTCGTCGTAGTTGTGTTCCCAATTCCCCTTCCATGAGCGGCAACGTCTAGTCTAGGCGTCTCTCTGCTCTATCACACTGTTCAAACTCAAAATGTATGTTGAATGAAAACGCCCAGAGGAGTCCAAAGACAGCGAGCTTTCAAGTTTGTTGTAAGGAAGCAATGCAACATAGGCATTTCGGGACGAGGCGGGTGGCTCACACACCGCGAAACAAGGCAAAGCGCTGATCTGATGCAACAAACATCGCAAGTCGCCCGTCCACCATCTCCCCATCGTTGTCCTCTACTCCAGGCCCTTGATACTCTTGACAAGATCCGTCGACGGTCTCCCAGACCTTCTCCAAATCGTCTTGCCATCACCAGGATCCTGCATGTCTGGTGCGGGTAAGATCTCCCTTAGCAGGTCGTTGACATCCAGCCCCTTCTCCCGTGCTACCTGCCACTGCTTCGGGTACCCCAGACTGACCTCCTCGAATCTGACGCCATCTCTCCAGTCCGTCCGGCGAACGTGCAAATGACCCGTCACCACCACTTTGGCGTTAAATCGCGTGTGCCAGTCTTCGGTCTTCTTGGTCCCGCACCACAAACTGAAGCGGGGAATCAAGGGAATCGTGATAGTGTCTTGGCGCAGCGGCCAGTGGTTGACCAGCACCAGAGGGATACCTCTTTGTGATGTGGCTTCCAGTCGTTCTTCGGCCCTGGCCACGCGGTCCTCGCACCATAGATCCCGCGACAGATATGGATCAGGGTGGAGCAGTGCCTCGTCCGTCGCAACAATGTTCTCCTCCATCGCCCATTCCAAGGCGTCTTCTCTCGACACATCATCAGGCCTGAAACTGTAGTCGTAGAGGGTAAACAACGGACAAATAATGCAGGGGCCACCTTCTCCTTCCCACTTCACATACTCATCCTCCGGCGTGATGACGCCGTACTCATTAGCGACCCGGATGCATTCCTGATACTTGAAATCTCCTCGAAGTTCCTCGTCCAGAGCATCCTCCTCATGTCCCTCGCCCCGGTTGCTGTGCCCCGGCAGCGTATACAGCTCGTGGTTGCCGGGCACCCAGAAGACTTGCTTGAAGAGTTTCGTGGTGATCTTGAATGCTTCGTGGAGATGCTCAATCTTTTCTCCCACGTCGCCACAAATAATCAGGCTATCGTCCAGGTGAGGTCTCAGGTCGTACAGGGCTTCGCGGTTGTGCTTATAGCTGAGATGAAGGTCCGAAATGGCGTAGAGTTTCATCGTGACAGGTAGACCGGGGGAACAAAGCCCGTCCTCCAGAGAGTTGGATGAAACCGCGTGTCCTTGCCGGCAAGCCGCGAGGCACCTAGGACTGTAACTCGAGACCTTTCTAGATGGGTTCCCAACAACCAAATGATGACCGGTAATGAAGGGAGACGACTAAAATGCCCGAGAGAGTTTGGTCGGCAACGCGACTCATCGGCAGCCTTGCTGGACTGTCATCACTCGCAACACTGAATCAGTCCGCCTGAACTGGTTCCCGGAAAAGACAGACAAGACGTATGAATGAGGCACCGGCGATATAGTGTATGCTCGTTTCGATACCCTCCAAAGGAAGCGCTGGGCAGAACAGCAGAGTGCAGCGTACTGAGAGTGGGCAGAGGAATAAGGCTGAATGTCTAAATTCGGTGAACGACGAAAAGGAGGGAATCATCGTCTGGTGAATTCATCATGCAAGGATGGCCGATGCTAGCGCATATCGTTAAACCAATCACAGTCCCCAGCATCTCGCTAGCTGCTGCCGAAAACTCTTGGCTTCGGCAACGTCGGATTTCGAATATCATTCTTCCGTCCACGGTTGTCCATCCTATATTTGTGGACGCCATCAACTCCTGACGTTGCGTTGAGTGGCATGAAAACCTTGTTTACCCGTGGGAGTTCCAATGGATATGCTTAGACGGGCACAATATCCTCAAGTGGTTTGGTGGAGTCTAAATCCCTTCACGTTCAGGACTAAAGGATCATCTCTTCCTAACCAGGAGGCTTGAAGCAACCCAGAATGCTTATTCTATATTGCATTTCATCTCAGCCCGAAGCTCAACGATTGTCTAAATCCCGCCGCACCTTGATCGAACCGTGGAATCAATGATCGCTCCAGCAAAGAATCAACCACACTCGACTTCATCCTCAAGGGAGAAGTAAAACAAGCAACACAGTGTGGGACTTAACAACAACAACAACAACAACAACCACAGCGGCGCGTACTCGGATTCCTTCGCATGCCCCGGTACCTAGTCCGCTTCGCATAGAGACCACCATTTTCGAGAAAAGAACAACACCCAATTATCTGCTGGGAACCCCCAACTCAACCGCTTTCCGCCCCAGGTGCTCCAGCCCGAGCTTTCGCCGACTAAAAAAAATATGATTCTTCGGTTTATCCAGAAAGCCCGTGGTATCATTCGAGGTACGTAAAATGCATTTTCGTCAATCATAACTTCAGGTGTCTGGTACTGGGATATTGTTCTGTCCTTGTGCAGGAAAGGGGAGAAGACGTCTTCTCTTCGGGAAGGTGCTACCGAACCCAGTCCTCATCTTCTCGTTCATCGTTCAGACTCAATTCCGGATTGGTCATGTCAGGCGCGACCGACCACGCCGGATCATCTGCCATGTACGAGGGTGGTATGGCAGCTCTGGGATGGTCCACCGACAGATTCGATCCTCCATCAGGATGCGCATATCTCTGTGCTTCACTGATGGTGTACGGATGCTCCACATTCCCAGTGCTTCCCGGTGTAGAGATACTGGGCGTCATACCCCGACTGACACTCGATAATCGAGACGGAGTTTGTGAGTCTTGTGGGTTCATCTGCATCTGCGCCAACTGATGTTGCAATTGCATTCTTTTCGTCTCCGCCTCGGCCTGCTTCAGATAATCGTCGATATCAAGACTCCCAATGTTTTCATTTGCCAGCATGTTTGCTTGAGGAGTCCCAAAATAAGACGAAGCTGAACTCAGCCGAAACCGATCAGAGGCATCGTCTCCGCCCACACTGCTGTAATCATTAAAAGTATCCAGACCAGTCTGCCGATCAGTTCCCACGGCTCGATCGGCACCCCAGGGATTGGCAACAGACGGAGGAGACTGATCCTCGACTTCGGAAGGTTCCTCGCTCGAGGACGTGATGCCCACTCTGTTTATTTGGCTCGTCAACTCAGAGGCCTGGAAAGCAATTTGCTGAGACAACATATATGGCGAATTTTCCTTTTTCAGACTGTAGAGGCCATTACTGCCGTCTAGGTTGATGTTGTTCCAGTCTGTTGAAGACCCCTCCGTAAATCTTGCCCACGGCGGAGGCTCGTAGTCATGGGCCTGTTCAAACGTCATGAACCAGTTCTCCGGAAAACGTTCTGGGAGTGTCAGATCTTGTAAGCTGGGGTTTTGGCTGTTTGGCAGGCTGTTCGGCTGGGTTGGCGGAGTATCCGTGCCAAATGGAGAGTATGCATATGCGCGGGGATCAAAATTGGGTATCTTGAAATCCTGTATCGACGATGTCCCTGCCATCCTTGTCGGCCCAAGCACAGGCGAATTATGCTCCGACTTGACTCTTCGTTCCACAACTTGCATAGCCTCAGATATCGAGTTATGTAGGGGAGATTCGTGGAACGGTTTGGCAAACTTGGTCAGCGGAAGGCTGTCGGTAGAACGTTGGGCAATCTCCCTATGCCCATGAAGTGAGTTGGAGCGCGACGGAATCTTATACGGTGCTCCGAGCTGGTTATGAGCATCGTTGAACTTGTGGACAGGCTTGTGATGACCGTTGGTGAATATCGTGGTCTTGGGGTCGTGGGAGTTCATGTTATGGCGATGTTTAGCATGATCCTTTGGCTGGAGGAGTTGCGAGATATCCTCAGGCACCGGATCGAGGTGGTCTTTCTTGAGAGCGCAGTTGCAACGGGAGCCGTGTTGACAGCAGCAAGTATGCTGTTCTGTGAGGAGTATCAGAACCATGACCGCTTCGAAAACAAGACGTCCACATACCAGATTTCCCTTCCTGCTTTTCATGAGGACAGTTTTCCTTCGAATGAGACTTATCATGGCACTCGCATTTTACATGCTGAGAGCGGGACTTCCGCAAGCCTCGACAGTGTTGGCATTGCGAAACAGGGCGACCTTTCTTATTGACATGTACCAGGGGCCGGTCTAGAATAACCATAGGTTAGTTGCAAGTCCACCAAATCTTTCTACCAGTGTATGAAATATGCCTAACACAACTCACCTTGATGATGGCAAGAACTAACACGATGGCCCCTCACGCACGCCTCGCAGGCGAATTTTTCCCCGTTGATGAGCATTTCGACTCTCCAATCTGAAATGTCGATCGCCTTTCACGAAAACCGCCGCAGAATTGATCTTGTCTACCAGGGAGAAGGTGAGAGGAATATGCCGGGTCCCGGGCCTGTCGGATGACTGCTCGAGACAGCGGGGCAGCAGGACTAAGCGTTGACCGAGTCGGACGCAGAGGTATAGGAGGAAAGAAGGTGAAGGGGCGCGCCCCTAACGGTATATGAGAAAGGAATCAATCTGATAAAATATCAAACGCCGGTTGGTGCTGGGGTGGACGTTGTCGGCAAGACTATGGATGGGCGCGGAAGGGTTCCTGGGATAGGTTCCGAAAGACTTCGAGAAAGAACCGCCTGACGCCGGAAATGGTGGACAAGGGGAAAGGAAAGATTGGTAGGCGAAGAGGAAGAGCTACTATGGGTCGGGATCGGCCATGGTTCGAGTTTGGGGAGTGTTTTCAGCAAAGGCGATGCTGTTTTGCGAGTTGCTGATGAACGAGGTATGTATGTTGTAGAGAGAAGAAGTGGATGTGAGGGCGGTGATGGAAGAGGATGAGCGGAAGGAGGGCAAAATTCGAGAAAAGCGTAAGAAGACCAGGCGGCGTAGCCGCGGGTTTCCACTGGATGGGGTTGGTTGGAGTCTCTTTCTCTAGAAAGCCCTTGCAGCCCTTGTAGCCCATGGAGCCGGAGCCGGTGGAGTGGGATTTCTCTACAAGGTTGATCGGTGGATGCGTGGTGCGGTGGCTTTTTCGATTCGAGTTTGGTGGGACCACAGAATTCGCAGGTAATCGGGGTCGCAGGTGGGTGGCAGGCATGCGAAGCGCATGGGATAGTAATGCAAGAGAATCTCTTAGTAACCCGTAACTAGGTTCATTTGGTCAGTCGTCGAGTTCATTGAGATGCCGATGCCATGGTCAGTGGACCCTGTCGGCATCTTAGAAAGCACGAGGGATTCCCTACTTGGTGGAGGGAAATGTTTGAGGACGGTGGTAGAAGAGCACTACGTAGGTACTTGTACATAGGTGCTTGTACCGAGAACACGCACGCACACCTATGCAGGTATTCTACATGTAGAATCGGCCCCGAGGCCGCTAGGAAGACCCTTAGTAACGAGCCCTTACAGTAGCCAGCTCGATGACAGGTACCCGTTTGTCGTACTTTGTAGGAACCTAGGTACACAAGTTAGGTACCTAGACAGGTACTGACAGGTACTCAGAGTGCACTCTCTCGGGGCATCTCCTCGCTGCTCGCTTCTTTTCCACCCGCGGGCTCCATGGTCTTATTTGGCCGCCCCTTGGGCAACCTCGGGCCACCTTTTGACTCCCACCTCCCAGTCCTCCAGTCCTCGTAGACTGCACTGCCCACTCCTTTCACCGTTGCCCACAGTCCACGCTTTGCCAACGGCACCTGGTGAGGGGTTCCGTACATAGCCTCACCCGGTGCCCATAGCTACACACTTTGACACCACAGTAGCTACCGCTCTCCCGCTCTTGCTTCCACAATGCAACATTCGTCGAAAACCCCCCACGGTCGATGCTCACTTACACACGAGAAAGGAACTTCCGCGGACCCTGACGGTTTGACTCGACACGGCGAGCCTGCAGCATGTCACATTGCCCCATGACATAGAGTACTCTGGCGTTCAAATGCACCCTAGTCCTGTTGCTCCGGCATTTCTCACCACGAGGTGCACGAGACACTACTCTTTCAGGACTACAATGTAATAATGAAAATGGCCAAAGCATTCTCCACAAGAAAAAAAGCAGGATCGCTACAGAAAAAGACCCGGAGAATTACCTTGATCGGCCCCTCGTATGTGATGAACGACACAGGGTCACAGGATTTGTTATCCTACATCCATCAATCGCAAGCAGACAAGTCGTAGGGCCCGCATGGTCCCTGCTGACTGGCGGCTACTTTCCTCAGGTACTTTGCCCTCATTCATCAGGCATGGGGTTCGCGGTCATCATTCCCCCATTGAGCTTACAGCTTCCCACTTCAAGAGGCCTCACGATGATCAATGAATGACATGAATCGAGTCAGCGTTCCGGAAATGAAGGTGGGTTGTTCAATAGAGCACGCGGTCTTCCGGATCGTGGGCATGAGAAGGTGTACAAGTGAGAAAAAGCTCCGTTATTTTGGTGGTTTAAATCAAGGAAAGCTATCAACACATGGTTGCCGCAGGAAAACGATCATCCCATCTCTTAGCTCATGTTAGCAGGCATATGATGTAGGCCGATCAACTCCCTCCACGGTATGTCTAGAAGTCGGAACGACGACTGAGACAACAGGGTAGGAGGATGGCTGTCCCAAATATTGTCCGTTCGTTGCAATCGTGATGCCTCTCGCGTCTCGCGTTCGTATTGTTGTTGTTGTTCCATGCTCCAAACAATCGAACGCTGCTTAACCAAACGCCCTTTTGATGCCACTTTGTACAGCCAAAGTCTTCCCAAGCGACAAATTAAAACATGGCACGTCTAGCTCAATCAAGCTAAACAACAGCTCGCTTCACTCCGCACCACCTCACTTCATCTACACCGTGGGGCCGGCCTTGATGACCTCCTCGGTGGCCTCATCCGAATACTTCTTGAAGTTCTCGTTGAACAACTTGGCGAGCTTGGTCACTTCGTCGCCAAAGTCGGCTGAGCCGGTCCACGATTTCTTGGGGTTCAAGAGCTCATCCGGCACGTTGGGGCACGCTTTGGGGACGCTGAGGTTGAAAACATCGTAATTCTCGTATTCGGCCTTTGCGAGCTCACCCGAGTGAATGGCATCCAGGATAGCGCGGGTATACTTCAATGGGCAGCGTTTGCCTCCAGTGCTAGCACCCGCACCGACCCAGCCGGTGTTGAGCAGCCATGCGTTGACATTGTGCTGAGAAATCTTGTCTGCTAGCATCTTAGCGTAGCGCATCGGGTGGAGGGCCAGGAAAGGTTGAGCGAAGCAAGATGAGAAAGTAGCTTGTGGTTCAGTGACACCGTCTTCAGTACCAGCCATCTTGGAGGTATAACCAGAGATGAAGTGGAACATGGTCTGGGCCGTGTTCAACTTGGAGATTGGTGGCAGCACGCCACGAGCATCACAGGTCAGGAGGATGATGTTGCTAGGGTGGTTATCGCTGATACACGGAATCTTGGCGTTGCCGATGTACTCGATGGGGTATGCACAGCGAGTGTTCTCCGTCAGAGTCGCATCGTCATAGTCAACTTCCCGAGTCTCGGGGTCAAAGACGACGTTCTCCAACACAGAGCCGAAACGAATGGCGTTGAAAATATCAGGTTCCTTTTCCGCAGACAGGCCAATACACTTGGCGTAGCAGCCACCTTCAATGTTGAAGATACCTCTATCGGACCAGCAGTGCTCGTCGTCACCAATCAGCTTGCGGTTGGGATCGGCAGAGAGCGTGGTCTTTCCAGTGCCGGACAGGCCGAAGAAGACAGTGACATCGCCGTTCTCACCCTCGTTAGCTGACGAATGAAGCGTCAACACGTTGTGCTTGACAGGCATCTCGTAGAAGAGGACGGTGAAGACACCCTTCTTCATCTCACCCGCATACTCAGTACCGAGAATAACCATCTCTTTCTCAGCGAAGTTGATGGCAACGCTGGTGGCACTGGTCATCCCACTTGTGTATCTGTTGGCGGGGAAGGACCCTGCATTGTAGATGACATAGTCGGGGTGGAAATGTTCCAGCTCTTCACGAGAGGGTCTGATGAGCATGTTCCGCATGAACAGGGCATGATAGGCCCGGGCGCAGACAACTCGGACGCTGATACGGTATCGTTCATCCCAGCCAGCGAAGCCATCGATGACATAGATTCGGTTCCGGGTATTGAGGTAGTCGACAGCACGTTCTCGGTTAATCTTCCAGACCTATACGAGCAAGATGGTATGTCAGCGGCCTGGTCTCTCATAACAACAAACGTATCGTGGGGCTCAGAGAACAAAGGACGGAACAATTCCCGGCCCATGACTTGGGTTGGCCGAGTCATCCGCAGCCAAGAGTTTTCTTAGCCGCGGCACAGGGCCCAGCTCTGCGTCATGGGTCTTTCCGGGCAACGCGGGGCAGAGCCACACTTCAGCTGAGAAACTTGGGCGTTTCCTGCCGTCCGTAGCGCACATGCGAACCACTGCATCACCGTGCATTGCGGGGAATCGCTGGGTGTTAGGCACCGTCGAGTTTGCTCGCCCGTGGCCGAGATCAAACGACTCATGGGCTGCCTGCTAGGTGCATGTGCTTGTCCTTGCGGATTTGGGTCGGACCAGTCTCGCAATGTACAAAGGATAGAAAAGGAGAAGATGACAATAAACTGACCTCTGGAGTCATGGGCTTGTTGACTGGTCCCCACCACACATCCTTCTCCGAGCTTTCCTCCTTGACCACACGCTTATCCAGCGGGGAACGACCGGTTTTGGACCCTGAGTAGGCTGTCAAAGCTCCTGAGGATGTAATGGCTGTGCCGGTTTCGTAGACCAGGGCATCTTCATAGAGAGCCGAAACTGATGGGTTGGCAACAATGGCAACCCGGTCGTAGTCAATGTGAGCAGTTGTGTGGAGCTCTTCTTCGAGTTCGGTGTGCTCGCGGGTTGGCCTGAAGTTGAAGTGAGTTGATTGTGATCTCATGGATTTGGGCATCAAGAGGAGGGAAACTTACTCGACACCACCCGGGTGGAGAGCGGTCTTGTTGACAGAGTGAGAGACCATTCTGGAGGAGAAAGCTCGAAGCTGGACTTTGGCTAATGCTGAACGTGCTGTTCCAGTTGCTGGAGAGGGCGACTGAGGCCTGATCTGGTGAACAGCTTGGAGACGAGTAGAGTAGTCGGCAGCCATGACTTGGGGATCGACCTGATATTGTATCTTTCTGACAATGGGGCCAAGCCGAAACGATGTGCTATTCCCGATGAACTCACGGGAGAGATCGGAGGACGACGATGTGGTTTTGCGTAGAGACTCAATCCGACTCTGCCCGACCCGTGCTGATTGGAAGAGGCCAAATGCCGTCGATATGCCGTGTACTACTAATTGGAGATCAGTGCCACAGGTGCGGAGCATGCGATAATGGGATGCAAATACCCTTCTTATTATCGTGTTGGGTCGAGTTTTCGAGAAGAGATTGAAAGGAAGAGGGCGACGGGAGGGTGACGGAAGACAAGCTGCAATTGAGGTGGAGGCGAGAGCTGAGTCTAGGCTTAGTCTTCCTCTCACTTTGCCTCTTCTTGCGTTTCTGCTCTCGTGATGTTCCTTTGACCCCCGCCAATGTCGCCCCCTGCGAAACTGCTGTTGAATGGCTGCGTGCCTCGCTCTTTTTCTCCCTAGAAGTTCGGGAGGGGTACTACCGCCTGCGTCAACCTCTTTGTGTCTTTGTCGCTACGCCAATCGAATCTGCGTTTCCGGTGCGAACCGTCCAATGACAGCCTTTCCAAAAAGAGAAGGGAGGAAAAAGAGATGATGAGAGCATGCATACGTCAAAATGGACGCGTATTTTAAGTGTTTCGGTCGATAGTCTTGATGACCATTGTAGATCAGAGCAAACGAGTGTCGGAGTTTGTCGAGCTATGACCTGAAGGAGGGCAGGCACAAACAGTTGGACTCGAGCAGATCATGATCAAACCGTTCCTCTTGGACGACATAGCAGTAATGACAGGGAAACGACTACATCCTTGCAGCATTGACTATGACCAAACTCTTCAACCGCAAACTCGATCGATACCTTTATTGAGACTCAATCTCCACTTGCAAACCCCCAATCCATCCGTCCGAGAGCTGCCAAATCATCCCCATATTCCTGCGGATTTACTCAGAATTCGCGCGGTACTTAGATTGGATGCCGTGCAAAGAGTTGCTTAGTCTTCACGTCATAAGACCTCAAGCAGTCTTCTGCCATGCTCCATATATGCCGAGCAAACTGCTGGTCACACCCGCCAAACCAACAATACCGTCATCAAGATTGGTGTAGCCGAGGATTGTGCTCGGTACTGTAAGGTCACAGAGGTCGGAGATCAGCTGGATATTGACGCTTTGTTGTTGTCTGAGTGTTGAAGTCAGTTTAAGGGTACACACCACGAAGCAGTACATGAGTGAAGAAGAATCGTCTATGACATACCTGGCAATCTTGACCTTTTCCAACTTGGCTTCGGCGTCCTTCTCATCGACAGCCCTGGCACGCTCTCTCAATTTATAGGTGTTGTATACACCAGCAAGGGCGCTGGCGATCAGGCCTGTGAGCCAGAATTTGTACGCCGTGATCTGGATGCTCTTCGCGCGAGCATCTTTCTTGACCCCCATTGCATCTAACAACGTCGTCATATCAAAGAACAGGTAGCCTCCGTACCCAATCTGTCTCAGGATCTGAAGGTATTGCACAATCTTGTCCCCATTGCCCGACTTGACCGCCGCATCGTATAGCTCAGATGCGGCCCGTATGTGTTCGACAAATTTTCCAGCGCGCAGGATTTTCCTCGTCAGTCCGAATTGGTTCTTGAGCGTGGTCCATGGCTGGATGGCGCTGGTCGGGTTGTTGGTACGATACAAGTACCAAGCGTAGAATCTGCTGAAATACTGGATCGTTCGGAGAACTTTATCACGGCCGACTGTGAAGTAGTTGGGTTAGTTGACACACTCGGCGGAACCCGCATTGGACCGACTCACCTGTCGTCGCGACAAATCGGAGGTAATGAGTCACCGCAGGGTGATAGACAAGGGCGTCTGCAACCATGATGATGGTGACCCTTGTGATGTCTTTTAGGCCTTGTCGCAGATGAGAAGGACAAAGATGGAGGAGCGTTCAGATTCCGACTGGGGATGAAAATGATGGTCTTAAGGGCGCGACTCCGGGTAGCAGGGAATGTCAGCCGCCGAACAGCGCTGCCTCGGCTGTTCGGACAATATCAGCCTACGATCGTCTCATGCTTGTTACTTTGTTGCTTGTGCGCATGCTGGTACTCGCGCTCATAAACACCACTGCATTCTTCTTGCAATTTTACACAATATCTCACCTACCTCGTTGTTATTAGCAGCAATCAACGCAACAGTTATTTCTCGTCCGTTTACACATGGCACGAAAATTAGCCGTCCACAATCTCTGTCCGTCTGCCTAGAGCAATGCAGTCAATCCTCGAACGCCCAGTTCTTGCTCGTGTCCTTCCTCTGTGACTGGCCTGCACAGGCTCGTATCTCCAATCAGCCATCTTGTCGAAATTGCAAGGTCACCCATTGCCGAACCCTCGCACAAGTTCCAGCAGGTATTCATGTTCTAGTACAGACCTCCTCGCCAAGCGGAAATGGAAGAAACAGTGAGGTGAGATCCGACCTGTAATAGGACGCTCAGAATCCAGAGACCGCATTCGCGGATGTCCTCGATAGCGAACGACATGCCGTTCCCATCCCGGATTGGTGCTTCTTGATCACTTTCGACGACCTCTTGAGCAGGACAAGGCGATGGGCGTGCTCACGTCGACCAACAATGATACCCTCCAGGGAACATCATGATCTGTTCCTCAACTGCTGTGGTGGGACTTAAAACCCACCCAAACCATCCGGGAGCGATTAGCTGAAGAACTGCTCGATCAACAACTCATTGATGTCATCCCCTCGCTGCTGTGATTGATATTAGGGGAACGTCGCTCATCACTTTGTTCCCCAAGGATTGAGAAAGGTACAGCTGTTGATCGTCTAACAGAACACACTGACACTAGCACCGGATTTCATTTACTCTTTCGGCCGCATCCCGGTCCTTTACCAGCCTGCTTAGTTACTTGAGTTCAAGATCCGATCTTCGGGATTGTTGATCTAAAGCTGGCCCGAGATAACCACGGTGGTAGCTAAGCTCGGATGTGGCAGCTGCTTACCACCGAGGCGTCTTCAGCACGACTTGTCGAGTATCTCGGAGAGCACAGAGCATCATGCAGTCCAATTTCATGACAGCAAATCAGCTAAGTCTGCTATAACAAGCAGAGTTCTTTCCAATTTCTCCTCGTTGTTGGACGTTGGGAATTGGTAATAGTGGATTGAACGGTGTGGTCTCTATCTAGTTATGACTCTCGGAGAAAATCAACCACCTCATTCATGATGTGCTCTGAGAATTGCTGTCGACATGCTGCCTGCAGCAGTTGATCTCTTGTCTATGCACGCCTTGGATGGAGCATCTGACCCGACTTCACTCCCACTCCATGTCGCATCTGGAACCGTCACACCCTGCATCATGGGCAAGATGCATCGTCAATTCCACCTGCATCTCACAAGTAGAAACCATGGACTGCACCGGAGAACAACAAAACCCAAGCGTCTTGCATGTGCAATAGATATGCTCGATGACATTATATTGCGGAAAGTCGAGACTAAGAAACGCCGAGACCACATTATGGGGAAATTCTTGAAAAAGCCACAGAGCTTAAACACAACTCTGTGCGACATTTGACCAACCAAGTAGAGCGTGTTCGTGATGATGCCCGCGAGGAACTAGCTAAGATCAATTCGAATTTTGGATAATACGAGACTAGGGTCGAAGAGCAAGAGCAGATATCGGAGTTGTTGTACGAAGTGTTGAAAAGTGTGGGAATGGGGACTGACACTTGCCCAGCTCGAGACCACGTCGAAATTTTCCAGAAGATGAGCCACATAGATCTAGCGTCGAAGCACGCACAGTTTCGCAATCTCGAAGCCAAGAGTTTGAAGGCTCATGTCCGATTCGAAACTAAGTTGTGTCTCGACCTCGTCCTTAGTGATCGATGAATTCCGTCGGGTGGCAGAGGAAGAGCACGATGAAACCAGGGCTGCGAATTACGATAAGCGCCATGGACGGCGGATAATCCCGATCATCCACATGTATATCGAATAATCAGCAACAACTTTTGCTATCTGCTAGCGAGCGACCCAAGAGTGGACGTCGAACTCGTACGAAGCGATAATTATTTGGCCGTTGAGGGGAGGCAAGTCGAAGTATTCCGTAAACGGCAGTGGCCCGCATCATCGAGCCGAGGTTCCGATGAAATTCCGGGACAATTCCGCCGGTTTTGCGGAGGTGGAGCAATGTCGACATGGGAAATTTTGGCCAACATAGCTCTGAAATGTCCCTTCTTCAGAATCTGCTAGGTGATGGGCTCCTGGTCTTTAGAGGTTGTTGCTATCCTTTGTTTTTTGGCAAGGTCAGTCGCTGTGGAAAGCAACTAGAAGACGCGTATCGTGTCGGACCAGGAAGGAAATCTTACGTCAGTGGGTTGTTATAGCACGAGGGGGTTGGAGGTTAGAGGTTCGTCACGATTGACTAAAGCTTGGGGACATCGTTCAGCTCCCGCTTCCACTCCTGCATACGTGATCGATACGGAAGTCATACTCGAAGAAGACCACAGGGGAAAAGAGAGTCACCACCATGCCCACCAAATCATCTTATCCGGACATTGAGATCCCCAATGTCGACCTTTGGGGTCTGATGTTCGAGCAACCCCGGGATTTCCCCGATTCCCAAGGTTCGTCAAAGAAAGCACCCTTGAACTCTGTGAAAGTGAGGACTTCTCTGTTAACACCAAATCGTGAAACGTAGTCATTTACCGTTCTGTGGACTCATCGCGGCACTACACGTGGGCCGATGTGAAGGAAGCTGCTACGGCATTTGGGGGTGGTCTCCGTAACCTCTGGGACTGGGGGAAAGGCGACGTGCTGAACATCTTCGCACCAAACGATGTCGACTTTGCACCGATCGTTTATGGCGTCTTCTTCGCTGGTGGCATCGTGTCACCCGCGAATCCCGCGTATTCAGCCGATGAGCTGACTTTCCAGTTATCCAATTCTGGTTCGAAGGCGATCGTGACGACAACTGATTTCCTGGAGACGGC